TTTTATGACCGGTTACCTTCCCATTGGCTTTGAATTTGGCGTCGAAATCACATACCCTGAGTCGGAGGGCACATCATCTGGTCTTCTTAATGCATTTGCACAGGTATGTAGGACCTGCTCATTCCTGACTTGTTTCATTTTTGCAATAAGCTTTCAGTTGATCATTTCCATACGCCATGGTAACCACTTTCAATTTGAACAGCCTGGTAAGATGCACACCCACACTAAAATTGATATACTTAGTTCTTCAGCATTTCCTCTATGTATCCTCTAATATGTTAAAGAACAGGTTTAGAGTCTTCTTGAATAAGTCATTGTTACATACATATTTTTGCCTCATACTCTACTGTCTTTAATTTTAGGTGTTCGGCATCATTTTTACTCTCATCCAAGGGCAGCTTACCACAGACTATGGCCCACTCAGTGGAAACATTTTCTTGTGTGCTTGGATCCTCCTTGGCATTGTTCTAACAGGTTCATTTTCCTATTTACAGGCCTTTCTTTCATTAATCAGTAGTGTTACTGAAGAGCATTTAGAAACTTCTGTGTTGTTTTTACAGCTCTGATTAAATCAGACCTCAAAAGACACGGCGTCAACGTGAGCAATATAAACAAAGGACAAGCAGTAAGTTAATCTGATTTTAATTTCCAGTGTTGCCTCTCATCACTTTTGTGAACTAAACATGCCAAACACCAAGAGGCTCAACCGTGCTAATCTTGATAATATGAAGTGGAAGATATCTCAGTACATTTATAATCAGTTAAGAGAAAGATCAAAGTCAAAAAGGACAAAAGCCATGCTGTGTGTCTGAGAAAACTGGCCAAACTAATCTATTAAAAATGTGAACATTGGTACAGGGAAAACAGGCATTTTGTCTAGCAATAATAGAGTAAAATGTAATGTTAACGAATTGGATTTCTTTATATATATATATATATATATATATATACACACACACACACATTTTTTAATTATTAGTTTTTTTTCTTAGAAAACAATTATAATATAAAACCGCACACATCATATTTTATGGTCAATGCACACTACCATTCAAAAGTTTGGGTTCAGTATGATTTCTTTAAAGAAATTAAAGTTTATTCCGCAACTTTTATTCAGGCATTTATAATGTTACAAACATTTCCATTTCAAATAAATGCTGTGCTTTTAAACTTTCTATTCATCAAAGAATCTTGGAAAAATGTATCGTGGTTTTCACAAAAATGTTATGCAGCACAACCGTTTTGAACATCAGTAGCCTGATGTTCAAGATCATAGTTTTTGTCAATTAATTGCCATCTTTAGGGAAATGAAAAAGAGTTACAGATCTTAATTGAACACATATTTGTCTCTCCTGAAGGCTCCTACTGAGCTGCCTTCTGAAAAAGCGTCCAGTGACGTCAAGCTGGAGTCTTCTAGCTTACCTCATGAGACTTCAATTTAATTCTTAAACGTCTCCAACAGCACATCAGACATCACAACCGATCACAGACTCTCCTGAGATGACTTGAAATCTCCTTGTTTTGCTGTAATGTTGATGTTATAAAGAGCTTTCATTGAAAGCGGACAGTGATAATTGTTCACAAATATGCTGTGAATTCATTTCTCCAAATCTAGGCTGAAACGTGTACATACAATCGGTCTCAAAATTATACATGCATGATGATACTTTCTATTTTATTTCAAGAATCGTGGACCAAATATTAGGTATTTAACAGGGCTTGTAATGGCCATATGCACAATCCTGTTAGTGTGTCTGGAACAGCATGTTTGTTTGCTTCGTCTCAAAGGACCTTTCTGATTGTGTGCTACTGTGAAGCAATGTTGTTTATTTCTCACATCTGCTGTTGCATTGCAGAACATCTACATGTAATAGTTCCACAAAGGCCATAAATTCCCATTTTATTTATTGAGGATGACGAAGATTGCCCATGCATTAAATGAAGAGTGTTCTATAAACCGAAAAGGCTTATTATGTCAAATGTAGTGCATGGGTAAACATAAGTGAGTGCTATTCCCTTACCATGATGAGACTGACGTCATTTCAAGTGCTTACGCAGTCATTGCGAGATAAAATCAAATGTCGTGTAGTGCTTTTTTGACCTGAAAAACATACTTGTTTAGACTTTTCTGGAGAGCACAACTCAATCTGACAGCATTTGTATCGCATTAAGAATGTGTTTCGTTCAAAAAGGAATGCGATCCATTTACAAGAGTGTGTCGCTGACGGGCCTAGTGAGGTTTTATGAAAATGTCATACCTCAGATGTGTGGTAGAAAGAAGCACTGTTATTTTATAAGCCTAGGTTTGCCTTTTATGAACTAATTTTTGTATTTTAGATGCATATTTATTGGAAAGATTGCTTTTTAAGAATTGTTATTGTATTTATTAATTTTTGTTTCAATTTCTACTGTTTCTACTTAGTAATATACTTGTCGGTTAATGAAGGCAGCTGTGTAAACTCGGGTTTCATTGTCACAAATGATGCTGGGAAATTCACTGTAGAGTAAAACTCTGTGCGAGAACTCATTAGCATTACACTCTGAACACTGGAGGAGTGGAAGTGTCTCATGTTTCCATCATTGCTGTTGTAAAATAATAAAACGAATATTGCTAAAATTCAATGATGCAGTTTGTTGATTAAAAAAACAACAAATACTGATCCAATAAAATGTTAAATAATACAGATGTAAATATATTGCAAATATTTGTAATATACAAGGGTTTTCATGTGATCATTATTATCATTCTCATGTGACATACCCCCATCCTAACATTTACAATGCCATCTATGGAGTTTCTTAAGAGACCCAATTCATACAGTGAGAAATTAACATCATGAATGTATAAAATATTATTATAAAACCGATAGTTCCGGTCCTTGATTCTTATTGGCTGAGCCACATTCGAAGCTGTTGTAAATTACTCCTTTGTTTACGTTTGTGTGTTGCTTGGCAACCACTTTGTTGCAACCACAACTGTCTGATTCTGAGGAACTACATTGATTGGTGGAAGAATAATGTTTTTAGGGTTAGTTCACCCAAAAATGAAAAGAAGCTTGTGTTTTACTCACCCTCGATGCATCCTAGGTGTATATGACTTTCTTCTTTCAGACGAATCCAGTCGGAGTTATATTAAAAATCGTCCTGGCTGTTCCAAGCTCTATCATTGCAGTCAGCGGGTGTTGCAGTTAAACAGTCCACAAGTCCTCAAATAAAGTGCGGGCATCCATAAAACGTGCCTCCAGGGGTGAATAAAGGCCTCCTGTAGCGAATCCATGTGAATTTATAACAGCTAAGGGGGTTTTAGGCACTCCGTTTCGCGTTGTGCCTAACAATGCCCCTTAGCTGTTATAAATTCACTATAAACCACGCTTCTTGGGGCTTATTGCTTTATTCTAACAATTCATGGATTCTATTAAGTTTTTTTCTACCAATGTTTTTTCTACTCATTATAGTAGTGTAAGTTAAGATTTATTATTTAATAATTTTTATATTTACACTGTTTTTCTCTAAACATTTTCAAAGGCCCACTACTACTCTATTGTAGCCACTTGAAAACATCTAAATATTTCATAAGATTTCTTGAAAGACGTTTTAGAAAGTAAATAAATCTGTATTCAATTATTATGATGAAGTCAAACATACAATTTGTGATTAGTAGGCCTATGAAGTTTACAGGAAAAGCAGGCTGAATGAAATGCAAACCTCTAGAAGGGTTGGAGCAGGTTTACATTTAGAACTCTAGCGCCCTCTAGTGATCGTACAGGACAGCTATAATTTATCACTTCGCTTTAGATGTGTTTTATCGAAACAGCTGTCTTGTTTGGGTATTTGAACTTCACATTAAAGGGAGAGCAGAAGCTAAAAGCATTCTAAAATGATTGGGTGAGGAATATCTTCTGCACAATCTCTCATTTTAGACACCTAGAAGAGATAAAAATTACAGCCAGGATTTAGAGACATAATGTAGTAGGCTATATTATGTATTATATATTATATATTAGTAGGCTATATATATATATATATATATCCTGTATGGTTCAAGTCTCGAAGCCTCTGCTAATGAGCTGATGAGTGGGTTCAGGTTTGCTCTATAGAGGAAACATCCAAAATATGCAGCACTGGTAGATGATTCATTCTGCTCATATACCTTCTGTTGGAGATGGGAGATATCTGAAAGATGCTTCTGTGTCTGAACAGGAGGTTGTTACATACCACCGCTTCTCATGAGGGCAACAGGAATACAATATTTAATGAAATGTTCTTATGGAATTGTAATTAAATATAAGCTAATTCCATCCCATCCATATGTTTTAGACACTATTTGTATTTCTTCTTTTTTGGTAGAACCACACTCTGAGTTAGGGTTAATATAGTTAATTAAAACCTTAAAAATGCATTTCTGTCACTTGAAATAAAATAAAAATAAATAAATAAATATATCTAAACGTTTTTATTTAAGCTAGTTTTCAAGGAAACATTTTTCATTTTCATTCAGTATAACTTAATATCCTAAAATAACAAAAAATTGCAATAAAAATGACTTAAAACTATATAGACACATTCAAAAACTAATTAATACTAAAGCTTTAACTGAAATGTAAAAAATAAATAAAAACTAATTCAAAATATGAATAAAAACCATAACAGTATCTCAATGATACTAAAATAACACTCCTATGAGTTTTACTTTCATGCGTTTTGAGGCCATTTTTAACAAAAAGAATGAAAAGGTGCAATAATTATTTTACTTATTAGAAAATGATATGGGCTTGATTTGACATACACTTAAAGTGATTTGACATCACTTTAAATGCACATTTTAAAAGCTCACAAAAAAACCCTGCTGGATACACAACGAATGTTCACGCCCATTTCCGCCATTTTGACCAATCACAGGCGGATCTATTGCCCTTATATGGAATTGAACCCGCCTCGCTTTGTTGCTTCGTCCAATGAAAAGCTGGGAGAGCGTGGTTGGCTGTAGTTTATGGCGATACAATAACAGTATCAAAAAACGTTAGAGTGAATGACCATTTGTGACCGTCAGTGAAAGCGGTTACACGCCTACTCGGAAAAGCAGATCATTCATTAATACTCTACAGTCAGGTGTTAAATTATTCTACCGTAGATTATTTAGCCCGCGATCCCTCCGCAGTATTCGGACGCCTCCTCAGTGTTTTTAGTGAAAGATGAAGTAGTTTCTGTGGCACAACTACAGAATGCGGTTTACTGGGAACATATATGACAATTTCTGAGCTGAAGCACACTCAGCCATAGTTTGCTACAGAAATGGTATCGCTGAGCATTGTTTGCCTCTGAATCTTTTTCAAATCACCTGATTTTCTTACACTTGAGCAGGACCGAGTGGTTTTGGCACATTAGTATGCCTGTTCGAGGCGCAACATGTCTTTGTGCATGAATGCTGGGCAGTCATAACTGATCTGGGGAAAAACAAGGGGAAACTCCCCCTCGGAAGACTTCTGAACAATGACCGGACCAAGCGCCACCAGCAGCGGCTCAACGGCCAAGACCAGCAGACACGGTCGATCCAAGAGCACCAGTACCTACTGTCACACTACCGGTCTGGCGGCCGAATCCACCTCATCCACTGCCGCAAACAACACCGGCAGGTCTTCCGGTGAGGAAGAGGAGAAAGACGGCGAGGTCCCATTTTTCGTGAACAGGACGGGCTTTCCCATAGACACTGTCACCTGGGAGAGAATGTGGTCACATGTCACCAAAGTTCATCCTGATGGACAGGAGATGGTGGATAGAATACGAAATGCAACACACCTCTCTAAAGTAAGTGTAAAGTAATGGATTATTTATGTAGACTCATTTAAATATCTCAAAACTCAAAGTCCAGTGAGCTTCCTGTCTAGACAACAGTTTTGGCGTCATATAGATGTGATGATATGTCTTGAAATATTTGAGGACCCAAAATGTTATCTTGTTAGGAAGCTCATATGTATGTGATACGATACACAAAATGTTGATAGGCAGCTTAACGCTAGTTATATAATCCCCCAAATGCTGGTACCCTAAAAATGCTTGAAAATGCTTAAATGTCTAGGCAGGCAACGTATTTATAAAATGCCCAAAAAGCTTTCTTGTTTGGCAAGTTACTAGGTTTTAAGTGTGTTTGTAGATGTCAGTAGAACATGGATAATGGATATAAAAATGCAGAATGGTCATATGGTATTATCATGTTTCTGGACATCTTTTAAGTCCAGTAGTTTATAAATATAATACTTTTTTTTTTTTTTACCTTGGTATATATATGAAGATTTTTTTTATAGGTAATGCCATCTGATACATCACTGTTTTTTTTTGTCAAAATAATATTTGACATAGTACTATCTAAAAGTTTGGGGTCATTTATTTTTTTTTTTTTAAAGAAATGAACTTTTATTTAGCAAGAATGTGTTTAATTGATTGTAAGTGACAGTAATGGCATTTATAATGTTGCAAAAGATTTCTATTTCAAATAAATGCTGTTCTTTTGATTTCTCTATTCATGAAATAATCCTGAAATGTTTTTTTCACAGGTTCGCACAACTATTTTCAACAGTGATAATAATAATAACAATAAATGTTTCTTGAGCAGTAAATCAGCATATTAGAATGCTTTCTGAAGGATCATGTGACACTGAAGACTGGTGTAATGGCTGCTAAATATTGAGCTTTGCAATCACAGTAATAAATCACATTTTAAAATATACTAAAATAGAAAATGTATATTTTAAATTGTAATAATAGTTTATTAAATGTTTTTTTTTTTAAATGCAGCCTTAGTGAGCATAAAATATTTCTTTCAAAAACACACACAAAAAAACTTTTGAACCTCAAAATTGGCCTATATATGAAACCTTGGACACATTTACAGGAATAGTGTTTATATATAAATAGCATCTCACAAACTGCCATTTGTGTGACCCAGTTTCCACCAAGAGGAAGTGTAGACTGTGTGACATGTGAGTGGATTTACTCATCCATGTGTTTTCCAACAGTCACATCGTCCCTTCTCATAATTTGATTACAAACCAGGCAAATGAGAGATCTGATCCAACCAATGACAACTATGCAGAAACATGCCTTTGTTAATGCACATTAAATGAGGAATGATGCCATGTGACATCTTAACTTTCACTAGGATTAAGGTTGCTGCCATGTCCCTTTATCACAATGTTGCTCTAACCTCCAAACATAAACCAATCAGACCTGATCAGGCTTCATAGAGCATGCAAATGAAGGGCCTCGGAGGGGATAAAGTGAGTCTTAATCACAGACTAAGTAATCCTCAGTGCACAGACGGACAGCATTCGCAAGGTCAAGCTGTGTGTTTATACTAGCTCTTTTGTTTTAGTTAACATTATTGTGCATTCCTGCACACTCATATGTGCTGATGTTTGCAGAACAAAGGCGTCTGATTGGTCGAAAGTGTTGAGTCAGATCCCTAGATGTTAAAGTGATTTATTAAGGGACATTCCCCACCAGCAAGTGTTGAACAGGTGCGTGGAGTGAATCCATCAGATCAACCAGATTAGGAGTCACTCGAACGGCTGTGACACAAGCCAGACATTCCTGTTAGAGCCATTAAACAGAGAGTGACAGTCAATGAGAAAGAACTCACTGTGAACCTGTAAATGGCCACACTGATGGAGAATCAGAGTCTCCAGTGATAACCTTGGATCTGAGGACACTGCAGTTATGTAAACAAACCACAGCGCTTTCCATTTGGTGCAGTTAGACAATATTCAAAAGCTAAATAGAGTATTAATTATTATTTATAGCACAGTTGCACTTGCTATTTTAGGTTTGGTTTTTGATATAGTCCATTTGCTAGAGTGCTATTAGGGATAATCTTAATTATTGTAATTCCTGTTGTTTTGTATTGAAGAAAATAATGTATCGCATCTTCCACAGAAATATTAAGCATGCACCACAACTGTTTTCAACACTGATAATGTTTCTTAAGCACCAAATCAGCATAAGAAAATAATTTCTGAAGGACTATGTGATGCTAAAAAAACAAGCTTTGCTATCACAGGAATATATAAAATTCTAAAAGATATTAAAAACAGTTATTGTAAATTGTAATAATATTTTACAGTGTTACTTTTTGATCAATCAGTTGCATTCTTGGTGAGCATATGAAGCTTCTTTCAAAAACAATAAAGGGGATAGTTTATACAAAAATTAAAATTCTGACATTATTTCTCACCCTTATGTCGTTCCAAACCCTTAAGACCTTTGTTCATCTTCAAAACACTAACTAGGATATGTTTGTTGAAATCCGAGAGCTTTCTGACCCTGCATAGACAGCAATGCAACTACCACGTTAAAGGCCCAGAAAGGTAGTAAGTACACATTGTTAAAATAGTCCATGTGACAACAGTGGTTCAACTGTAATTTTATGAAGCTACGAGAATATTTTTTGTGTACAAAGAAAACAAAAGACTTTATTCAACAATTTCTTCTCTTCCGAGAGAAGAAATTGTTGTAAATTTGTAAGTTGTAAATTGTTGTGTATGCATGCAGAAATGTTGCCAATGTTTTGGTAATGATCTTTTGGCTTTAGTATTTGGATATAACCCATTTGCTAGAGCATTTGCGTTTGCTCCATTTTTGAGTGTTATTAGGGATAATCTGCATAATTCCTGTTGCTTTGTCTAGTATTTGGGCCTTTATCAAATTGTTTTTGGGTCAATCCTTCACATCTCAACCAGACAACCACAGCTAAAAATTTGGATTTTGATAATTTTATTTATGGTGAAGTAAATACATAAGTGAAGAATAAAGCCAAAATATTAAGTGTTATAATACTTACTAATCCACTATTTTTAAGGCCCTGTATGATTTGGTCAAAAAACATATGTGGGTCACTTTGCATACAGCTGATACACCATTTAAAGAGGAATGTCTGAAGAACAAATAATGTTGAAACTAGAAATGCATCATGTTTACCTCTATCAACACACCTGTCTGAGTACCAAAAATAAAATTTTTCCAAAGTTTGCGTGACTGTAACTCAGAACAGCCAGTTGGTTTTCTGCAATGACTTTGATCCTGTAACGACTGAAAAGTCTGCATCTCTTAGATGGACAAATGTTCTGGGTGGCTTGTATCGTCACCTAGAGTAGTGAGTCTCATGTTTCGCTACAGTCCCCCGGGTGGGCAGAGGTCAGCTAATGGCCCTGTGAGTGTGGATTGTGGCCTATTTATTGCTGACCTCCTTTAAGGTTTTGAGAGACCCAGTTGAGCCAGTGGAGTAGAGCGTAGATGTAAATGAAACCTCTCTCAGAGAATTCAGACTGTCAGAATCGATATTCAGAGTGTCATTTTGTATTCCGATACATTTTTGGAAATCAATTCTGAATTGAAAGCCTTGAAGGGTTAGTTCACCCAAAAATGAAAATTAGCCCATAAATTACTCACCCTCAAGTCATCCTAGGTGTATATGACTTTCTTCTTTCAGACGAATCCAGTCGGAGTTATATTAAAAATTGTCTTTGATCTTTCAAGCTGTAAAATGATAACTGTGCTGTGATAATTTCAAGCAGTGGTTCTCAACTGCTGGGTTTATGTAATGGACGGGATATGATAATAAAAAAGTTACCGCTGAAAACGTTAGAAAGCAGTCTCTTATGTTCACCAAGGCTGCATTTCTTTAATCAAAAATATAGTAAAAACAGTATATTACTGGTGTTTTGTTTACTTTTATACGATAAAAATGTTGGTGCTATGTTGGGTTGCCAGTTAAGAAACACTGGGTTCCATTCCATCAACACCATTTTAATGAGGCTATAAGTTCTTGTGACATTTGTCACACCTCAGGTTTCTAAACGCCTCTATTTAAGTGCTGAGAAAGAAGGCGTGTGTTTGCACCTCTGTCTTTCAAAAGTTATTCTACTCCGAACAACAGCATTGTTATTCTGCCATCATAACATTGGCGCAGAATTTAGACATATTGTACAATGCATTTCTGTGCTTCTTTATCATGCATTCAAAGGCTCCAGAAGTCAGCACAGACAGACAAAACTGTCCTACCCTGACTTTCTAAATTCTCTCATTCTCTTGCACTGGGCAGAGAGAGATAAAGAGGAAACAGGAGATGATTCCCTTTCTCCATTTCTTATTTCCTCATGTGACCCAGCAGCTCTTGCATGCCACCAACACACATGGTGCTCTTATTGAAAATAAAACCCAATGCATAATTCTGCCTGCATTTATATGACAAGCTTTGGGTTAATGCTGTTAATGTGTTGTAATAAAGAGATTGTTTCAGATAGAGGACAGCCTATTTTCTTGCTTTCATTAATTGCTTCTTTTCTTCTAATGAATGGAGGCTTGTGTGCGAGAGGACGACCTTTGTTCATTGCTAATTCTCTTCGCTGTCCTTTTGCAGTTAGAAGTGTCATTGCTTGTAGGGGTTTCAAATGATCAATGAGGCACTGTTTCTATAGATTATAAGGACTTTTCATTCCATTGAGACATCAGAATCTGATTGATGAATCTCCTTGTGGTTACAAAAGTCACCTTGTGACTAGGTTGCCAACTTCAGGATAAAAATAAGTGACAACCTCCCTTTCTTTATACTACATTTCATTTAAGATTTAAAAGGATAGTTCAGCCTAAAATGAAAATAATATCATGATTTACTCACCCTCAAGTCGCTCCAGAATTGTTTGATTGTCTTTTTACCTGCAGAAAATATTTCGAAGAATGTTTCAACTGTTTTTGTTCATATACAATGAAAGTCAGTGGTGTCCAGAACAACACTAGACCCCACTGATTTTCATTATATGGACAAAAACACTGAAACATGAGCAAATGAAATGCTACATGATCACAGTGTATGCCTGCAGCAGCAATATGTACTTCTTAGTATCTATAACATCTAGTTATGTCATGCTGAAGTACCACGCATTATTACACACATCAATTTAGTTTAGTTTAGCCAAGGCAGATTCTAACATTGGAGAATTATGAGTGTACATAAATAATTCAAGATGACTCAACTTGATGTTTTTAATATGGCAACAAATCCAGTGGAAATCTGAACCACTGAAACCCAGCAAATAAAAGTTAGCTAGCAGTATAACATCTATGACACGATACTAGAATAAAGATATAGGGCCTATGCACAAACAAATATTGGACAAACCTGAATTTAGTCTTCAGTGTCACATGATCTTTCAGAAATCATTCTAATATGCTGATTTGATAAACAAGAAACATTTCTTATATTTATCAATGTCAAAAACAGTTGTTGCTTAATATTTTTGTAGAAGTCATGATACATTTTTGCAGGATTCTTTGAATAGAATGTTCAAAAGAGCAGCATTTGTTTGAGATAGAAATCCTTTGTGACATAATAAATGTCTTTCACTTTTGATCAATTTAATGCGTCTTGCTGAATGAAAGTTGAAGGATATTGTTTGCTAATTCTCTCTGTTTTCACAGCACCCCGTGCCATCGGTTCCAAACTTTAAGCCATCAATGTCTGTGCCTGATTGGCTTCATGCCGTCCAGAACTACATGAGAAACTTGCAGTATCCTTTACCCTCCACAAACCATTCGCTCTGGAAAAGGTTGACAGATGTTTTCTAAACCTCTGTTTCTTCTGGATGCATTATGAATTCATGGGCACTCATTTCTTTGGAGTGTCAGTTATGCTTTTTCGCTCAGTGTAATTTTTTCAGTCGGCTTGACTTACTCAAAGGGCCTTTTTGGTTGGAGTGTCAGTCACTTTAATGTAGAGTGATATTAGCCACGGGTCTGCATACTTCTGGTACTCTGATTATTACAGTTTTCTGCCAGTGAAAATGTGTGGCTTTGATATAGATTAAAGGAATAGTTTGCCCAAATATGAACATTTGTTGAAAGTGTATACACCCTCAGTCTATCCAAGGTGTAGTTAAGTTTGTTTCTTCATCTGAACAGATTTTGAGAAATTTAGATTAAAACTTACATTACTTACTCACCAATGAATGCTCTAAAGTGAATGGGTGCCGTCAGAATGAGAGTTCGGTGACAGCTGATAAAAACATAACAATAATCCACATGACACCAGTCCATCAATTAACGTCTTGTAAAGTGAAAAGTTGCGTGTTTGAATTAAACAATCCATCAAGACATTTTAAATTCAAATCATTGCTGCTAATATATGAGTCATCTATCCATAATATTGTTTTTTCCAGTAAAAAAGTTGTCTTGTTTGAATCAGAAGCAAAATCATATACAAGCGAAAACAGATTTAATGTTGTTTTTGACGTGAGAGGACAACAGGGGATGGATTTTTTCACTAGAAGAAGCATTATTTTGGTTTATGGACTTTTATTACTGGCAGCCACGGTTTAAAGTTAAAATGCCTTAATTATGGATTTGTTTTATACAAACACATGGCTTTTCACTTCACAAGTTGTTAATTGATGGACTGCAGTCACGTGGATTACTTGTGGATTATTGTGCTGTTTGAACTCCCATTCTGATGGCACCCATTCATTGCAGAGGAATTTGGATATTGCATTGTCTATACTACTTGATGGTTAGATTATTTCAGCTTCTGTGGATATTTATATTCATCATTGTGTGCGATTAATATCTCAGCATCTCAGCAATTTTCTCACACAAATACAGCAATGTCTGTGAAGAGTAATGAGTAAATAGGGTTCAGCAGGATATTGTTCGCAGCTGTGCATTTTGACACGCATGAGTCACAATGAAAAAACAGGAAAACAAGGCTTCCTAAATGAGCCGTACAAACTTCACGTAGCTCCTTAACTGCTGACAGATACAACCATACGGGAACGCAGTTCTTTGAGATTAAGAAAACCAGACCTCTGAGTGGGTAAGTGATGCCATCGCCGAGGCATTTTCATCATCCTGTCTGTCTGCCCTGTCTTTCCTGTTTTTAGTCTTGTCTTTTTCCTGTTCCTTCTTATTTTACACTTACACTCTTGGTGGTAAATCTCTTTTAAAAATATGTTTTTCAGGTGTGATATTCATTTAAAAAAGTGCCCTTTTACAAAATACAGAGCTTATAACCAAACATGAAAGGTTCATTTTAGATTGAAAAGAAGTCATTGACCCTGTATTGCATCAATCTAATCTCTTTCCAGGTTGATGGAGACCGCCAGAGAGATGATACGAGAATCACTTCCCATCAAATGCCTTGAAGCAGTTATCCTTGGAATGTATCCTTTAGCTTTATTGACAACTGTGCAACTTTAGCAAAACTAAAACTATTAGAAATTGTTTTTATTAATTGAAAAAATAAAATGAAATATAAATATTATATGAGAAACTTTTGAGATAAGTTTAAGTACCAAAATAAAAAACTAAATACTAAAATACTAAAAATAAAATAAACCAAAATACTAAAACTAAAATAAAATAATGATAGAAACATTAAAAAAACTAATACAAATAAATAAATAAGTACTATAATTATGTATAGAAATAATACTAAAATAAAATATTAATATTATATGAAAAACTTAAATGAAAAAAATTTAATATTTGAAATAAGTTTAAGTTGAAGTACCAACATAACTAAAACTAATACTGAAAATAAAATAAATGAAAGATAAATAGAAATATTATGAGTAATTGCTAAAAAAATTTGATAAATGCTCAAATTGTGTACATAAATATTAAAATAACACTGATTGATCAAGTGCATTCTCTTAATTCACCAAGGAATTAAGAAAAAATTAAGGTTTTAAGAAAAATTGGGAAAAAAAATTAAAAATGAAACATTCATTGATAAATAATTTACAATAACATACATTAGAAAAAAGATAGATATGGGTAGCACGCACACTTTCTTCTGAAAATGTAGAAATCTAGTGTTGTTTTTTTAGGCTTGAACATCCTTCAGTCCCTAAAGTATAAATCTGTTCTCATAAAAGTAATTATCACCATCGAGCACATACAGCACAGTTCATTTGTCTTGGGAAAGCCCCATACTTTAATTTTTATTGTTGATTTCTCAATTGCTGAAATTGGGATGGAGGGACTAAGCAGAGATCTATCAAAGGCAATGTGCTTCAGATCACTGTCTTCCCTCATGATCCGCCTCAGCCCGAACCGAAGCTTTTACGTAGCTGTTGCTAGGAAACTAGGAGTCGTAGTAGATTCTCCTGAAGGGAGGCGCAGCTTCCTGTCCATGCAGTCTGTGAAGAGTAATGAGTAAATAGGGTTCAGCAGGATATTGTTCGCAGCTGTGCATTTTGACACGCATGAGTCACAATGAAAAAACAGGAAAACAAGGCTTCCTAAATGAGCCGTACAAACTTCACGTAGCTCCTTAACTGCTGACAGATACAACCATACGGGAACGCAGTTCTTTGAGATTAAGAAAACCAGACCTCTGAGTGGGTAAGTGATGCCATCGCCGAGGCATTTTCATCATCCTGTCTGTCTGCCCTGTCTTTCCTGTTTTTAGTCTTGTCTTTTTCCTGTTCCTTCTTATTTTACACTTACACTCTTGGTGGTAAATCTCTTTTAAAAATATGTTTTTCAGGTGTGATATTCATTTAAAAAAGTGCCCTTTTACAAAATACAGAGCTTATAACCAAACATGAAAGGTTCATTTTAGATTGAAAAGAAGTCATTGACCCTGTATTGCATCAATCTAATCTCTTTCCAGGTTGATGGAGACCGCCAGAGAGATGATACGAGAATCACTTCCCATCAAATGCCTTGAAGCAGTTATCCTTGGAATGTATCCTTTAGCTTTATTGACAACTGTGCAACTTTAGCAAAACTAAAACTATTAGAAATTGTTTTTATTAATTGAAAAAATAAAATGAAATATAAATATTATATGAGAAACTTTTGAGATAAGTTTAAGTACCAAAATAAAAAACTAAATACTAAAATACTAAAAATAAAATAAACCAAAATACTAAAACTAAAATAAAATAATGATAGAAACATTAAAAAAACTAATACAAATAAATAAATAAGTACTATAATTATGTATAGAAATAATACTAAAATAAAATATTAATATTATATGAAAAACTTAAATGAAAAAAATTTAATATTTGAAATAAGTTTAAGTTGAAGTACCAACATAACTAAAACTAATACTGAAAATAAAATAAATGAAAGATAAATAGAAATATTATGAGTAATTGCTAAAAAAATTTGATAAATGCTCAAATTGTGTACATAAATATTAAAATAACACTGATTGATCAAGTGCATTCTCTTAATTCACCAAGGAATTAAGAAAAAATTAAGGTTTTAAGAAAAATTGGGAAAAAAAATTAAAAATGAAACATTCATTGATAAATAATTTACAATAACATACATTAGAAAAAAGATAGATATGGGTAGCACGCACACTTTCTTCTGAAAATGTAGAAATCTAGTGTTGTTTTTTTAGGCTTGAACATCCTTCAGTCCCTAAAGTATAAATCTGTTCTCATAAAAGTAATTATCACCATCGAGCACATACAGCACAGTTCATTTGTCTTGGGAAAGCCCCATACTTTAATTTTTATTGTTGATTTCTCAATTGCTGAAATTGGGATGGAGGGACTAAGCAGAGATCTATCAAAGGCAATGTGCTTCAGATCACTGTCTTCCCTCATGATCCGCCTCAGCCCGAACCGAAGCTTTTACGTAGCTGTTGCTAGGAAACTAGGAGTCGTAGTAGATTCTCCTGAAGGGAGGCGCAGCTTCCTGTCCATGCAATTCTATGCCACTGGGAGGGTGAGTTCTTTCAGGAATTATTAGTGTCAGTTAGCTCATCAGATCCAGGCCAAGGGTTAACACAAGGTGAATGTCATCTCCGTCCGTGCAAATGCCAAGTGTAGCAGAGAAATGTTGTGGAGATCTGCTTTGCCGATTGCGGTGTGTTTCGCGAAAGCCGCAGTGTGGACTTCACTTTGAGTTAAGCACCTCATGGGTCGTTAGTTGCACATCTGCGTGCAGATTTGTAGTGGAGAGCGGGAGGATGAAGGGTTCCAGTTTACGTCACTTTGAGATTTGTATCTTTGTGTACAAATCCTGTCTTTTAATCTACAGCGCTCTCAAGGGACTTTCCTACAGTCCCAGAGGACTCAAACATCAGTGTTACAAGTACCCCAGGCACATCGTTTTTTCCATTTTTTGTAGCATAAACCCCATCAAACCGATGAAAGCTTCCAGTGTTTCTCTATGGCGCTGAAACCTAAAGATGTCCGAGTTCCAGTTCACGTGCAACTGCCACTCAACTGCCATTGGCTCATCTGCGTTTGAGGGGAGGGGCTTACTGCCCCACTTCGTTACTGTTGCTATGTGTGACAAGCCATGCCACTCTCGTGCCACACATCATGTTTTCACACAGTGAAAAATACAATGAAAAAATCGCAGAGCAAAGAGGACACTGACAACATGCTGCCAGACAAAACAGAGCAGGTTACATTCGGAAAGACATCATTGCACACTATTTTTCAAGTTAAAGTCCACCAATGTTAATCTGGCAGATTCGACATTATAATTGGTCAGATCGCCTGTCAATCAAACTCCCGGTGAAGGGTCAATTAGAACATTCTGAGAGGAGGCTCTCAACCAATGGCGTGAGCTTGAGGGTGGTGAGCTACCTAGTGCAATTCTATTTGGTGTTGGTAGTAGCGCAGAAACCATTTACAGCAACTTTCAAAATATTTCAATTGGGTCTGAACATCAAAAAGAAGATATCCTGATAATAATTTTCTCAACTGTAGATGTCCATGATGGATTTACAAAAAAAAAAAAAAAAAGATGTAAAACTAGTTTTAGCTTTTATGTATTGTTTTGGCTTATGTGAGTGGGCAGTATTCTTTTCAACTCTTAAATATGCAAGGTCAGCATTTTAGAGCTATTATATCACAAGGACAACCCAAAGAGAAGTGTTTGGTCTTCTCTCTTCTTCATGCAAAATTTTGGGTAGAAATAAAGTCATCAAAAGACTGTCTGCATATTCAAATGAAGACAAAATGAACAAAATGAAAACACAGTGTGCTTGGAACCTATAGCAGAAGTAATCCCCCAGGTTTGGGAATGAGTGTATTGCAGATAAGAATTCTCGGCACTGCTGCTGAGAGGATCACATGGCCCTGCTGATGGGTAATGTGATCCTCTGGTGTCTTCTCATTACAACACTGGTGGGGGGTTTTGTGGGTGGGTGTGTGTATGTGTATACACAGAGAGAGAAGGAAACTCAAAAGAGCTGCAGACGAACAAAACCTACTGAATAAGCCTGTATTTACTTCGTATAACAACAAAGTTTTGTGTTCAAAATACTACAAAAGAATAATGGGACTGAGTTAACAATTCTCCATTTTGAAAAAAATCTAAATGTAACTTCTTTGCTTTCTCACTGTCTTTTGTCTTATTACGTATAATTCACCAGTGTAAAAAATTTCTTAAGTAAAAAATGTCTGCTTTACTTAAACAAATTGCAAAGATTTTCACCAAACTTTTCTGCAGATGTTAGTGATACCAAGGCCTCAATTAATATGAACCAATTTGCAGTCTACTGTTCATGAGCCAAATATACAGTATATATATATATATATACAGTGGGTACGGAAAGTATTCAGACCCCCTTAAATTTTTTAAGGGGGTCTGAATACTTTCCGTACCCACTGTATATATATACATAGTATTTTTTTTTCAGAAAGGTTACATACTAAAGAATTTTGTTGTAATGTAAAAGTATTTACTGTAACTAATGATCATTTTAATGCATCCCTGCTGAATAAATTTATTAATAAAAAAAAAATCTTACTGACCCCAAACTTTTGAATGGTAGTGTACATTTTTTATTGAAGATTATTGAAGACGTTCTCTGAAAACAAGTCGTTTCTCAAGTAAATTTATCACGTTTTCAGATATTTTAATAGAAAACAAGGGGGAAAAAAAGTTTAAAGTTGTCATTTTACTCTGCATAACTGTGAAAGTGCTTCTGTCACTTACCATTTTTGTAGTTTTAATTTGGAATAGCCTAACTGTTTGTGGACCACTGGAGTTTTTGATTAATAGATGAATATGCTTGTGTTATGGAATACCAGCATATTGTACTGGTGATTGTGTTTGAAAGGCAGATGGCAAAGCAGTGAAGCCATTCCAGGACGTTGCGTTGTGTTGTTGGACACACATGGCTCAACAGATCTGTGGTATGTGCTCTTGGCTGACTTGGCAGCTTGTGTGGTACCCAACAGCAAAACGGCACAGGCGCACTGTTTACTGACAAGTGTGACGATAATGATTCATTTAAAGGGTGGTTGCAAAGAATAAAGCATCTTTTCCTCATTTTAGCAACCTCAAGGCAACATGAATTCAAATTTAGCATCAGAAAGGAGAACAGCAATCATGCTAATCTCTTTTTGTTTTGTTTGTACTGCAGTTCTTTAATTACATCATGGATACCCTAAAAGAAACACCACTCAGTTTACTGATGTGATTGATGGCATTAAGGTCAAATAGTAGCCTAGACTTTTTTTGTCCGTAGTTGGAGATGGGTCCTGGTGTGAACCCTGCTGATACACTCACAGCCTGGTGACTCCTCATGGCAGCAACTGCCGCATCATGTGTGGCCATGCCGCAGTGAGCACTGATCGCTTACATAAGACTACAGAAGAGATCAGGCAGAGACAAGGAAAAGCCCAAGGGGAAGGCCAGTCTAGCCGAGTGTCTGCTGACCAACTTCAATCACATCGCTGCAACATCATAGAAAGAGAAGGTTTTTGTTCGACTTGAGATGTTTGGCTTTTTATATAAGCGTCTAAGTTTGTTTGGGTCATGTCAGTATTTTTAAACTACATTTTCTTCATTTTTTTTTTTGAGATTGTGTGACTTTTTAGTGTGTTATTTGGTTGTCCATTATTAGGATTATATACATTAGGATTCATTGCCTTAGTGTTAAAGTGTTAAAGGTGGTTTCTAGGGTGTTACTATGCAGCTTTAGTGTGTTATGTGGTTGCTAGGGAGTTCTTATTGGTGCTGTTCCATGCAAAAGTTGTTGCCACATTACTAGAGTGTTATAGGTGGTTACTAGGGTGTTGCCATGCAGCTTTTAAGACATTCAAAGTGGGTTTAGTGTGTTATGTGGTTGCTAGCGAGTTCTGTGTGGTTGCTAGGTCATTGCTAGAGTGTTCTTGTTGGTGGTTTTCTTTGCAAAAATTGTTGCCACATTGCTAGAGTGTTATGGATGGTTGCTAGGGTGTTACTATGCAACTTCTTGGCCATTTGGAGTGCTTTTACTGTGTTATGTGGTTGCTAGGTCAGTGCGAAGATGTTCTTGTTGGTGCTTTTCCATGCAAAAGTTTTTTTTTCCAAATTACTAGAGTGTTATAGGTGGTTACTAGGGTGTTGCCATGCAGCTTCTAAGGCATTCAAATTGTGTTTAGTGCATTATGTGGTTGCTAGCGAGTTCTGTGTGGGTGCTAGGTCATTGCTAGAGTGTTATGGATGGTTGCTAGGGTGTTACTATGCAACTTCTTGGCCATTCAGAGTGTTTTTACTGTGTTATGTGGTTGCTAGGTCAATGCAAGGATGTTCTTGTTGGTGCTTTTCCATGCAAACATTTTTGTTGTTGTGTGGTTGTTAGGTTATTGGTAGGGTGTTCTTATTGGTGGTATCCATGTAAAAGTTATTTCCACAATGCTTGAATGTAATGGATGTTTGCTAGGGTGTTGCTAAACAGCTTCTAAGGTGTTCAGAATGGTTTTGGTGTGTTGAGTGGTCATCAGGGAGTTCTGGATAGTTGCTAGGTCATTGCTTGGGTGATCTTGTTGGTTCTTGCCCATGCAGACATTGTTGCCACAATGCTAGAGTGTTATGCATGGTTGCTAGGGTGTTGCTATTTAGCTGCTAAGTCCTTTAGAGTGTGAGATTGCTAGGTCATTTCTATGGTGTTCTTGTTGGTGCTTTTCGGTGCAAGCTTCTGAGTCCCTTTAATATTCTGATCTCAAGTTCTTCATTGGAAATCTTTGGGATTGTTTCTTATATTTCACCTGATTGCTTAGAAAACCACATAATGCAAGTTGTCATTTATTTCATTCATGTAGCACAAATTGTAAATGCTGAATTGCCAAAGTTGAGTTAAGAAGAACCACTTACTGTAGATTCAGTTATTTTAAAGAGAGTACAATTAAACAATTAAGCTTTCATTCAGAGTGTCGGTTCTGATAGTATTCTGAAAATACTCACAAATGTTAACTGTCATATATCTTAATAGAGTCTGAATTGAAAAACTGGTTGTTAAGGACAGCTTCTTATTGACCTAAAGTAAGTCATTAGCTGATCGATTTTCAGGAAGTGAGCAAAACTAAACTTACTGAAAGCTCAAAGACAGATCGGATTTTAATAAAATCAATAGTACACACCAAGTTAAAAACCTTGGAGAGGATTTGGTATTTTTCATGAAACACTTTGGTATCCTCCTGAATCTTAACACCGATAAAAATCAATTTGCCATTTAATTATCACTTCATTCTTGAGCAGCTGCTATTTTTTGACTTGAAAATTATTCTGATTTCACCCAACCTGTCATGATTAAACCCATCACAAATGAACATTAGTGAAATCCTTGACTCTGTGTTGCCAGCTACCTAACCAACGGTCTGACCTCCGTGGAACGGTTCCCCATCAGCTTTAAGACCCACTTCTCCGGCCACCACTTCCATCATGTGGTGCTGGGCGTTTACTGTAACGGCCGATATGGCACTCTGGGTATGAGTCGACGTACTGACCTTATGGACAGATCTCTGAGCTACCGTACGCTCAGCGAGTTGGTGTTCGATTTTGAGGACTCGTACCGCCGCTACCAGCACACAATGAAGAAGATCAAAATCGGCCTGTACGTGCCCCACAATCCGCACGTTTTCCAGCCTATTGAGTGGAACTATCTGGTGATCAACGCCTGCAAGCAGGGCCGTGAGGACATGCGCAAAGAGCTGGAGAAGCATGGCCGTGACATGAGGATGAAGGTGAGTCCATAGCCTTCTAAGATACAGTGTTATTTTTAGTATCATTGATATATGCTATTTTTTTGTTAATATTTTGAATAAAATGTATTTTATTTTATATATAAAATTTAGTTTTTTTTAGTTTTAGTTTTTTTTTTGTTTCTATATAAAGTTTTTAGTATGGTTTAATTTTAGTTTTAGCATTATATTTATTTAGTAATTTTAGTACTTTTAGACATACACACACATTTTAGTAGTGTGTGTGTGTGTGTGTGTGTATATATATATATATATATATATACACATACACACACACACACAACTAAAATCAAGTACTAAAATTACATCCAGATGTACATCCATGGTTTGTCAACCATAAAACAATTCTCATTACTGGGAAAAAAAAAATATAATGAGAATTGTTTTATGGTTAACAAACCAAAACTAAAACATGACTCACTGAATCCATAATATATACATAGACTCAGTTGAAATGTAATATATTGTAATATAATATTACATTTATGTTTGATTATATAAAATGTCAAAAGATGTCATTACTTTATTATTGATTTTTTTCATAAATATATTATTGATATTTTATATTTATATTTTTGCCAAAATGACATATCTTAGGTTTTGGAATAGAGATCTAATGTCCCTCTCAAAATCTAAGCTAGTTCAGTGGGAACTAAATAAAGTCAGACTTCCTGTGGGAGGTGTTACATGGATCACACTTTTTTATACTCTGTGTTATTTTAAAGTAAACATTTATGTTTTCCCCTGGTTCATTTACTGAACCAGCTTCAGGAGATTCTTTATTTGTCCTCGGCTGTTTATGAAGAGCTAGACCAGCATGCTAGCTTGAGATCATCTGTATGACTGTAACATGGGATGTGTTTATCATCTAGACAGTAAAAAGTAGGTCATGTGCTCCCAGTTTCTCAGATGCGGCCTTGACTTGCATGGATGACCGCAGTCAAACAACTGGGTTTTATTGCAGATCCTCAAGTCATCCAGTGCTCAGTCGCCAATCAAAGAACGAACCCGAGGCAAGTCTTTATCACCGCGCCGCCGACCAGCCAGCAGTCCCCAAAGACGCCAACATGTCCACAGAAGAGACAAATCGTAAGTAATGGACACTTGTTGAGTTTGTTTACTGTTGAGGAAACGCAGATCTGAGAAATAATATCCACGTGTGCGCAATTCACTTTTTAGAAAAGTTTCTGTCAAGAAAATATGTATAAATGCAGTCTTAAGGCCTTTCAACACTGAGCGCGATGCGAAAAAGCGAGGCGAATCGCCGACGAATGGTGCTTTCACACCGAATGCGAAACGATTGTTCGCCTTCTGCTAATTCACGCCTGCACACTAGGTGGCGCCGACCAACGATGCATTTTTCCTCAGATATGTATCTCGTAAATGGATTTTACATCATCCGCTGCTCAATATACAGCATTAAATGAAGATAAACAAGGTTCTACACCAGAAACAATCTATTTATAATGCTTACAAGAAGAGGCTACATCCTAAAATATAATTAGAAGTACAATTAGCATCAAGCTACACTTGAAAATGTATGTAATTATTAATGTATTTGCTTACCCACTTTAAACCATCATCGAGTGCTTGTAATAACTTCCAGTTGTGATCTATAGTTGATTTTGATTAATAAGCAGACACATGCACTCTTTGTATGTTTAATAACGCTACACTGCTAATATTTGTCATAAACATCCTTTATTGCTATAAAAATACTATGAGCTGCATACAAAACACATATATCGTCATAATCATGTCTATTTGCATTCATGTGTAGAACAAGAGTGAATGCGCTCTGACTCATAACACTCGCGCACGTGGAAGAAAACGGACGGTGCTCTACAGATCACATAATTCATTGGACAATTAATAGAAATATATATAAAGAACATGTGAGAATAAATCTGTTCTCAAATACCAACGATAACAAGAACTCAGCATCCACTCTCTTCTCTTATCCGGGATACTCTTCTTCGATGTTTGTTTACACTGGTTTTCGAAACAGCGCCACCATTCTCACCCTTTTGTGCAACAGCAGCTGCTCCGGTCACGTGATCCTAGCTCAAATCTTATTGGATGGCCCGTGTTTTCGCTTTGCGAAACTGAAAAGATTTGTCGGACTGGTTCGAAAGAAAACATTCGCATTTTCGGTGCGCGAATGTTCGCGGCCTATGTGAAAGCATCCATAGAAATCTGTTGTTTTATTCCATTGCATCATTGCGTCCGATATTCGTTTTGCTTTTTCGCGCTCAGTGTGGAAAGGCCTTTAAGCTGTCAGAGGTTTATCGGCAGTGACTCGTCATGATTGCATCAGTCCATGGAGGGTTAAAAAGTAATTACTTGGGTTGCATTTATTTAATTTTGACATATTTTAGTGATCTTCATATTTCTGGTGATTTATGCTCTTGGAATGTAATTAGACAGCTTTTATTAATAATCCTCTGAAAATGAGCCATTCAAGTAGCATTTACAATGACAGCGATTAAGTCTGAGGTCACCAAGATGCTGTACTCCTAAATTTATTTTAAAAAATTATATATGTATGTTGTTGTGCAGCTTAATTTTTTAGAGAATTTCTTGGTAATATTATGTCTTTTATCATCACTTTTGATCAATTTAATGCATCCTTCCTGAATAAAATAATTAATATCTTAAGTAAAACTTTTTAATGGTAGTGTATACATGTATTTATTTATATATTAATAAGTTCTATATTAATATACAGTACACTACCATTCAAAAGTCTGGGATCAGTCAGATTTTTTATGTTTTTAAAGTAGCCTCTTATGCTCATCAAAATGGCATTTATTTGGTCAAAATTACAGTAGAACAGTAATATTGTGAAATTCTATTATGTTTCTGTTGCTTTCTTGAAAGAAATTAATACATTTATTCAGCAAGGATATGTTAAATTGATTAAGAAATTGATAGTAAAGACTTGTATTGTTACAAAATATTTTTATTTTAAATTCTGTTCTATTGTAATATTCATTCAGTTCAATCTTTTGAAGATTAATATGTAAAAGCATTAGGCTGTTTTTGATTCCTGTTTTTCCATTGCCAAATTTAAGACCTTTTAAAATCAGAATTAAGACGCTTGGAACGACATGAGGGAGAGTAATTAATGGCAAAAAAAGTCATTTTTGGGTGAACTATCCCTATAATATTAGATACTTTAGCTTTTTATAGCTAAAAATTAATAAAACCGAGGGACATTTTTTTAATTCACACCCTGCTTCTAAATATTTTTAGTTGCAAATGCAAGTGAAATGCTAACACTGTCAAGCCCTGATATCGAGCGGTCACTGAGGTTACTAAACACTGAAGAAGACACACATTGTCTGCTCATGTTTCGCGTCCATGCAGTGGCTTTAACCCAGTGCATTCTCATTAGAGCTGTGATGGTGACAGTGTGAAGCAGGTGCTGGTAATCGGTTGATTAATCTCCTCTAGCAGCACACGGTTGGCCACTTCTCGTGTTACAGAAGCACTTGTTTCTCTCGTCCAGTGGGTTGACTTATGGATTCAAGGTTTCTATAGCAGCACAGCGCAAATACTAGCGGAGAAGCTCTTTTATTGTGCAGAGTGGAGCAGAAAGCCCCTTTTAGCACAGCTGATCAATTTACAAGTGAGACTTCAGGCTGCTTTTGTTTGTGGTGTTGAGGAAATAAGATTCCTTTCTTTTTAGTGCCACCCCTGGGAAATATAGGCAGTGAACAGTATCTATTAGGAACAGAGTCATAAAAAGTGACATAGTGATAGATAGCAAAGCTTCCTCTTCGAAAGAAGTGGTCGTTTTAGCAAGACATACACACAAAAGGATTCCTAAGCTCTGGAAAAAAGACCTAAAAGCAGGGAGTTAGGGCTAGTTAGTTTAGCAAAGTGGCGTTTTAAACACTTGCAACTGATGTGACACTCCTCTCCTGTCAGTACAAGCTGCCCTCGGGCAGTACACTGGGTTGGCATTTGCTCTAATAGGATGTGAGTCCAATGCAACAGCTGTGGTGGATGCGGGCTTCACTGACATGTCACGCTAAAACGAACCAATGAATAATCCTTCCGCATGAACATACAGTGATAATCAGAAGGTCCTTTTATGTTTTAGCATTTCAGAGCTCAACATCTGATGATGTAAATAAATCCTCTGATGAACCGGATCATGTTAAAGCTGGTGTGCTCTAGATTGCATGTGTGTTTATCAATTTTAGCTGGCGAAATGCATATGATTGTGAATTTCACGTAGGAGCAAAAACTTTCCCCATACAGATTTTGCCACTGGTTCAAGTTAGTTGCGAATTGACAGAAAGCTACTTGGTTTGAAAGTGACTTCTGTGTGAGGGGTGCTGTATACTTCACTACACTATTGACAATTGACTGGACTTTTTGACTGGAAAATGTCATGAAATTCCCTCACCTTTTGATGCAACGCTACTGACTTAAAGGGATAGTTCACCCAAAAATTAAAATGTGATGTTTATCTGCTTACCCCCAGGGCATCCAAGATGTAGGTGACTTTGTTTCTTCAGTAGAACACAAACGAAGATTTTTAACACAAACCGTTGCAGTCTGTCAGTCTTATAATGGAGGTGAATGGGAATCACGGCTTTGAGAGTAAAAAAAAAACATACACAAACAAAACCAAATTAAACCCTGCGGCTCATGACGATACATTGATGTGTAAAGACACAAAACGATCGGTCTGTGCAAGAAACTCAACAGTATTTATATAATTTTTTACCTCTGATTCACGTAATGTCCGAACTGTTCGAACTGTCCTGAGCGGCGGCGCGTCCTCTTGAGCGTGTTCTCAACAGCAGGCGCGTGAGGCGTCTTCTTCTTCTTCTTGCTTTACGG